GTTATTAGATGATGTTATTATGCATGTTATGTCATGTTTACATGATGAAGCTTTAAGCCTCAGGTGTGATCATTGAATTTACTGTGGCAGAAAGGAATTTGCGAGGGAGGAGCTATGTGGATAATGTGGATTTTAAAGTGCTATCTAAGGTCTTAGCTAAACGTCTGGAGAGTGTGATCCCAGATATTGTATCACCTGATCAAACAGGATTTGTCCAAGGCCGACACTCCCACTCAAATTTACAAAAACGATTCACTACTCTCCATTCAACCTCTTCAAAGTGCCGAGAGTGATTTTGCTTGATGCAGAGAAGGTCTTTGACCGGGTCGAGTGGAAATACTTATTTGCTGTCCTCTAAAAACGTGGCTTTTCTGAGGGATTCATTGCCTGGATTAGACTACTTTACTCCTCTCCCCTAGCAACAGTAATATCTAACAATACTCAGTATGACTACTTCCCCCTGAGGGGGAACATGGCAGGGTTGTCCTCTTTCTCCTCTCTTGTTTGCACTAGCCATTGAGCGCCTAGCAGAGGCACTGCGACTGTAGGGACTTACTCAGGGGGATTTAGAGCTGAAAGTCTCTACTCGGATGATTTGATGCTATCTGACCCTGCTCTACACTGAAAAAAAAAGTCTTTTGAATTTACATGAAAAAAATATGTTCATCGGTTGCACAAATTATATTCATGTTTAGTCAAAATGATTCATTTCTATTTAATATACTTAATTTTTATTTGTAAAACAAACATGATTTTCTCATGTAAATTCAAAATATTTTATTAATGTTAATTGTATTAAATTATTCTGATAACCCAACTTATTTTTTTTGTGTTACTTTAAAATGTCCCTTTTATGTTAAGTGTATTCAATTCTCACCTATTGAAGCAACATGAGATTTTTATGTAAAGTATATGCAATGTTGTTCTGTTAAATTAACTTCCTGCTTCCTGCTCAAGTTAGTCTGATAATGATCCTGCATACTTTTCTGTATAAATTCTACATGCTAAAATTATTTCTGTATGGCGATTTCTACTAATCTCTTACCTACAGAATTTACTCCTTTAACATTTTTAAAATAAATAAGGCAAAACAAAAACGTTTAGTTTACAACTGTATTGTCATAGAACAATAGAAGATTCAGTGTAATGTATACACAAACACATGCACACATTGACAAACAAATCTCATATTAGAACAAAGCACCTTTTTCTTTCACAAGAAACACTTGGTATGCAAGTTATCAAGAGTGTGTAGTAAACATTCATGACTGCTACAACCTGAGACAAAATTATTTTGGTCCTTAAAACACCTTCTGAGTTACATCAAACCAGCATCAAGAGAATACTATACAGCCAGGCTAATGCAGGAATGTCGTGCAAAATATGTGCAAAAAACATTACATTTACAATTTCTTAACAAAAGAAAAGGACACATGTAAGAACCATTATTGTCCTGGCAAATGTAGATCTTGTGCTTGAAAACTACATTTGGTTTTGAAAATAAAGTTAATAAAATAAAATTGTATTATAAAAATAATACAATTAAGAGTTATGGCTTGCTTTCCCACCACTACTATAAGTCAGTTAAGAATGTGCAAAATCCAAAAATCACCTCCAAATTTGAAAACAGGGTAAACGGTTAGAGGTCTATTAAACACATCTGACAAATGCTGACACTTAAATGAAAAAGGCACATGACCCTGAGAAAAAAAAAGAAAAAAAAAATACACTACACTTGGTAGCGGCCCATCACAGAACATGCAGGTGACTGGTTCCAATAATCCTACTGAAAAAGCAGCAATGGTCCATATTCCAAAACAAGATGGTGAAACGGTTGTATCCATTTTGCCATCAAATGGCAACAGTTCACTGATGGAGTCTGTTTTTGAGAGCCGGGGCTTTCTTTGACAGTGTGTTGCCGTCCAGCTCCATCACAACCTTCTGGAGCACTTCGAACGAGTACTTAAGTTCAGGAGGGTAGTTGAGGTTCAAGGCATACATTAGGCAAAACAACATGGCAGCATAGTGATATAACTGATCATGTATCGGTATACATGTTAGAAGCCCTGTTAGCGGCACAGCTTATTATAAGCACGATTTGGGCTACATCCGCCATTGCACAGAATTGTCAACAAAGCAGTTAGCGGCGCACATTCTGACGTCAAACACAGCGGATAAAGGCGTACACTCTGACGTCGCAAGGCAAAAAAACGGTTATACTGTCCACACAACACTGCAACCGTCGTTTCTGAAAATGCTCACCCTGGCCGGAGTTTTCAAAAATGTTCGGTTTCTGTGCCCTGAAACTGCCTTTTCGTGTGGACTGAAGGCCGAACCGCGTAAAAAAAGTCACTGTTATAAAAATACCCGTGTTCGTGTGGACAGGGCCCAAGTCAATGACGCGCGAAAAACTCCCATGCTGGTATAACCGAGCAGTTAAACACCTTTTTCTCAGCTTGATTTAGAAAACATGAGCAAGTTGCCCTCACTAGCATAACGCGAGTAGAAACATTAGCTAACCTTTGAATTGCTCATTTTTGCTAGTCATTTAAAAATCTCTGCTCGACGAAAATAATGCCTCGAACAGGACTATCTTTAGCAGAACGTTAGCTAACGCTAGCGAGTAGCAACATTAGCATTACCATTGACTATCCATGTAGCGAGTGGTAACGTTAGCTAACTTTGACTGACATTGACTAATTCCTGCTCGATGTTATACTGGCAGATAAAAACCTCAGTTTAGTCAAAATTGTGCGACTAACGCGACGTCTTTGACTAATAAATGATACAGTGTTATTAACTTTACCGTGTGAAGAGCTGTCCAGACTTTTATGGTCCAGACGGATGAATTCCTCCGACTGGATTGAAGAAATGGCGCACAAAGTTTTCCCTTAAAAAACCTGCTCCTAATGGGCGGAGTTTCCAGATGAAACATAACAACTTCCTTTCTTTATAACATGACTGAAACATAAAAATTAAACATTCCTGAAGATTACAAGAATTCTACACGATTTACATATGTTTAGAGGAGGAACATAAATCAATTGTGTTATGTTTATGAACTGTTCATTTGTTAAGTGAACAACCCCCATTTCCCCCTTTTTTCAGTGTATCTCTTCTCTATGTTCTAGATACCGTGACTCAGTCTGGGAAAATTGCCGTAAAAGGGAACTTTTTTGCATATGGTTTGATAAAGGGATCAGACCCCCCCCCCCCTGTTCTTTTCTTTTTTTTCAAATGGCATTACTTTGCTTGTTAAATTTACGCATGTATATGTCTACTTCTCCGTCACATGAAGGCACCTGAAAGTACAAGTTCCATAGCCTGTAACCCTGCATTGGGTGGGTGGGTGGGAATGAGGTTTTAGACCTGAATCTTTTTCCCTCAGAATGTGTGTCTCCTCTTCCCTGCTGGATAAAATCTGTGAAAATAAAAAAAGTAAACTAACTAAATTAACTATTAAACAAGATAAAAAGAAAGAAAATGTAATTAAATGTTGCTTCTAGCTACAGTGCATTGCACATAATCAAGACTAATCTTGACGTAGTGGTCCTCCCGTGCAGAACATACACGGTTAAAATATTGCATGAAATGTTTTTTAATTGAACTTTTTCAAGTGGTCTTTTTTCAACATTTTTGTTTTGCATGTGGTGCAAAAAGTTGACAATGTCGTGGTGTTAGTGTGTCCAGTGTGAAGAGTTAGTTTGTGACCTGATGCTTTACTGCATCTATTTATTGGTGAAAAAGTGGCTTAAGAAGCATTTACACAGAGAAAAAAGATCAGCCAACAATTTCCACTGATCAGCAGGGAATTTTAGACCATGAGTCAGTTAATCCATCTTCAAATAGAGGAAGAGGATGAAACTTGCATCATACATTTGTATAATAAAATGTTAATACAGGGCGGCACGGTGGCGTGGTGGTTAGCACTGTTGCCTCACAGCAAGAAGGTCCTTGGTTCGATTCCGCCCAGTGGGCTTTCTGTGTGGAGTCTGCATGTTCTCCCCGTGTCTGCGTGGGTTCTCTCCGGGCTGGATGTCATCCAAACAAATCTGTTTATGTATAATGAAGACCAACTATATGTAAGCAAATAACCTTAAACAACACATTGTATAATACTGCACACGGTTCAATTTACAATGATCAATAAATACATGTTGCATATGTGTCTGCATGTACAGTATTTACTTGTACATAATTCTGTTCAGCAGGTTTTGTTTTGGGTGAAAACTTAGAACTTGTTGAAGCTTCATACTGATCTTGTGTTTCAGTGATTAAAAGGTCACGTGTTCCTCTCTGGTTTACTGTGAGTTTTTACCAAAGAAACAATATGTGATGTTATTATAGTAAAGACACTTGATACACTGAATGAGTAAATACGTTATGGAAAAATGAAACGTTTAATGACAATCAAGCTTTTTTTCCTCTGTTGTTTCACACATTCATCACAGTTTTGATTTGATTAATTTTTTGTCTCCAAATAAAAATCTATAACAGAAGCATCATGTAGCTTATTCTCACCAATCAGGTGAAGCCTTAAAAGTCTAAAGTGTAAATCGTTGCTCTTTGGGAAAGATGATGATGAAACAAACCAGGAACCAAAGCTGAAGCTTCCTGCAGGACAACAACATGTTTATTACTTTTTCTACATTGATCTTAAATGTAAAATATCTAATTACTAAGACCTTGAATTGTGATGCTAAAAAAAGCTACTTTTAAATGTGTTTGATGCTTAGTAACATTTAATCATTGTTTTTAATCTCTCCAATGACACGTTTGTGTGGATGAGAATCTTTCAGCATTAAAGCAGATCACATGAACTAAAACACAGAAAGCTTCAATAACTCTGCAAACTACCAGCAGAATTCCAGGATTTGGGGAAACATTCCTCTTTAATCGTTGAAGGACCTGCCGGGTTTCTTCACCTCAGCGTAGAGGCTCTCTGACTGATTCCTGCCTGTCGCCGCGGCTGCCTGAGGAGATCGAGCGTGAAACTTCACCGAGCTGTAGGTGACGTCGTTTGTTGGGTTCTGAGGTGCAGATGTTTCGTCCTGCAGGATGAATCACATACGTAAGAAAAGGTTACTTGCTATTTTCCTCGTGGGGAATCATCTCCTGACGATTAACAGTCACTGATTTAAATACTTCGCTCTCTTTGGACAAACCTGGAAAAGACTTTGGTTCAAGGTTTTGATTCTAACAACATTTCTGAATTTTGCCTGTTTCTTGAAATCTGGAGGGTGATGTTAAAAGACGTAACAATTACCTGAGCAGCTTCATAAATTACATTATCGATGCTCCTTCTTGAACCTGCAGGTCAGTGATGGAAGAAGAACAAACAGCCCTTTAAAGATCTGAACTGTTGTACATTTACTTTACTTGAGCTGCAGATAAAGTGACTCCATCTTTTGGGTGGTGTCTAATTTACTCCATCCTCAAACAGAAGCACATGTTGACGTGTTGGATTTGATGTGTTGGGATGTTTGTATCAAAAGAGCAAATCATGACAATCCCAGTGAGATAAAAAGCACCTTTTGGTAAAATATCACATGTATATTTTAACAAAAGTATTTCCTTAGCTGATGCAGTAAAAGACGTCCTGTGTTGTACAGATTGTTCAGCGCTCGGAGGCAAACTGTGATTTGTGATATTGGGCTATTTAACCAAACAGGTGGGTACATAGTTATGGAGGACTTGGAGACATTGAGTTTCTATGTAGAGGAAACAAAGAGGATTTTACAGATGTTGAGATTGTTTGTTGGAACGTTTACTTGGACTTACAGATTCTTCTCCTTCGATCAATACAAAGCCAGACGGATAGAACCACAATTAGGATGAGAGTGAGAGCAGCAGTGCAACTAACAATCACCCAGACAAGGAGAGGATCTGTAAAACAAAACAAGAACCAGATCAGAAGAGTCTTCCTGGTTTAAATGACGCAGCACAGCTGAGAATGTGTCACATGTTCACAGCCTGATGTGCTTCTAACGGACTGAAGTTTGGATTGTGAAAACATCTTTAACGTGATCTATAGTAAGAAATCATTTAATTTATTCAATTAAAACAGAGAAATTAGTTCTGACTTTTATAGTCATTAATGGTTGCTACTATAAGGTGTTTTGGGGGCAGAGGGTTCATTATTATCATTAAGTTGTCTCATCTTTCAGTCTTACCAGTACTTGGGTAGCAATGTTGTTCAGCAGTATTAAAGTCCTGGATCCAGTGAACCTGGTTGCTATGGTTACAGATGATGGTGCTGTTCAACAGGTAGATCTGGAGAGAAGCCCCAGAGGTCGTGACCTCTGGTCGCTCTCCTCCCTCCTGACTGCAGAACCGGTCGACACATCTGAAAGTGCTGCTGATGTGAGCGTTGTGAGTCCTGCAGGTCACATGGAGGTCACATGACGCTGAGCTGTTGTCCACTCCGTCCACGATCAGTTCAACTGGAGACACTGGTCCTGAGGGGGGGGGAGGTTTCTGTGAAGAGTTTATGAAACATGGCGGCAGAAACTATCAGTGAAATGTTTACAGACTCACCTTGAACTGTGACCTTGTATTCAGTCAGTAGTTTGTTTACACCTGTTACTGCTACAGCAGAATAAAGTCCACTGTCGACCTCTTGTACATTCTTCAATCTCACAGAGAATTTTTCAAACTCAAGCCGTCCAGTGAAATTGTCATGGACTTTTGATTGTCCACTATGATCAATTGTTACTAAAGTGACTGTTTCATTGATTTTCCAGTCAACAAGTAAAAACTTCTCAGGAGGATCAGCATGAAGCTTGAGGAGCAGATCACGTCCCTTCAGCACAAACACAGGAGTCACAATGGTTCCTGTAAAAACAGTAGACACATGATACAATAAACATCACACACAATATGTGATGAATCATTCACTGCTGAATGTTCCTCCATCACTACACTTTATTTATTACACATTGAACCAGCGGTTCACCTTCAGCTCATCACTGCTTAACATGAAGTGACAGAAGTCTCTTCAAATGTCTCACGTCGTCTCTTCCTGAGGACACAGAGAAGCTTAACAGCAGAAACTAAACCCACTGAGAGCAAGTTGCTGCTCAAAGTTCTTCTTCTTGACGTGACAAAGTATTTCCATTCTGTCTCTTTGTCCTCTGTCCCTCCGTCTCACCACACTAATGTCCCCCAGCATCAGCTACACTGAACATGGACGACTTTAGAAAATAAGACGTCCACAGACTGAACGCAGAAGGAGTTAAACTCTGAGAGGAGTAAAGGTCAACATTTGTCTTGGAGGGAAAGAAGCGTTCAGCCCGTTTCAACAAGTGGTGAGAAAGTGTCTAAAAGCACCTGAATGTTTCCTCTGAATCACACACGTCTTCTGTTGGAACACTTAGAATATTTACTGAATACAACGTTGAGACTACGGAAGATTTTTAAATGAAAATAGTAAACTCATACTGAGACTATTTCCTGCCTCTGAGCTCCGTACAAAAAGGAACAACACGAATCCTGATTAACCACAAAGAAACACAGAAAGATTCAAAAATATGTTTCTAACCCAACTTCTATTGTAGAAATAGTGCTGCGGTATAAAAGCTTTGACCTTGAAAACGACAACAAAATACATATAAAATAAAGTCCTCACCTTGTGCTTCACATAATGTCAGCAGAGAAACAAAGAGAAGCTCGACGCACGACTTCATTCTGCAGAATGAAAGTATGATGATGAAACGAGTGGAGAACTTTTTACTTCCCTTCAAAGCAACAACCAATTACTTCAAAGATTGTTAAAATGAAGCCATATATGTCTCTATGTGGTTGACTTGTAACTACCGTCACATCATGACGTGGGCTCATATTTTATTATTAATGGTCTCTTCACAACATCAGCTCCGACTGCTCGTCTGTAGGAACTCTGTACGGCCACCAAACAAAATACTCTAATTAAACCAGAGAAATGTGTCCTTCTGCACTAAACACTATAAACATTCCACAGCTTGATGTTAATTCAATCAAATGACATTTAACAAATACAAACAATTTCCTACATATTTAACTCCATCATCTTCATCACTGCTTCATCATCATTACACATTTCCAGTAGAACATCATCACCACCTTTGACTCAAAGATCACTTTCACATCCTCAGCACTCACCTCTGGTCCTCATCGCGTCCTTGTTGCCTCGACGGGGAAATTTAATAGGATTCCACTAAATATTCGTTAATTCAATGTTAGTAATTAGAAATAGAAGTAGGGTTCCATGTCACACAGAGAGGAGAGCTTCTAATAATAAAGTAACTGCTGCAAACCACAGTGATGTTTTAATGTTTTGATGTTTGTAATGTAATGATGTTTTCACATTGAAGTGTTAATTTTGGCAGCTATTTTTGATTTAGTATTAGTCTTTGGACGAAAAATGCGTATTAGTTTTAGTCACATTCAGTCATTTTAATCCTTCTTAGTTTTAGTCTAGTTTTAGTCGACGAAAACTAGACTAAAATGTAATTAGTTTTAGTCTAGTTTTAGTCATATTTAAGAGCCATATTAAACTCATTTTCCTCCCTTCTCAGGCGCAGTAACCCTCTGTGTTGTGTCTACAGCTGCATAATAGTCCAGCTTGCAGTACTTGGTGGTCCATCAGATGTCCCTCCTAGGACAGGTCTATAGATGTCCCTCCTAGGACAGGTCTATCAGGGTCGGCAGACTTTTTGACTCGCGGGCCACAGTGGGTTGTAAAATGTGACGGAGGAGCCGCCAGGCCAAGAACAAATGGATGAAGTGTTTGCGTGAGCTAATTAAATGACATGTGAAAAATCATTACATGAAAGGATTTGGATTTTAACAAATAGCAAAGCATTTATTTGCAAGGCAATTTAACAAATTGTCAAAGGTGTAACAAGTTCATGAGGACCAGGGATCTAAACGCAACACTTTGTTGTCTTTGTCTGTTTACTTGTAATGCTTTTGAAACTTCATGCTCCTTTATTGTTTCCACTGTCCCAACTAAAGAGACCTTAACGTCCTACAATCGGTGCAATACATTATTTTCTTGGCTGCATCATAAAGCAGCCGTTCTAAACTGGACCCCACTTTTCATTCAACAGACTTTTCTTTCTCTTTGTCTCTTCGTTTATTTGTTGGTTTCATGACCAGTTCTTCTCTCTTGTGTCCTGTGGGTCACTGCGCACTTCTATCAAAAGGATCCACCGGTCACGTGTGTGGCGCCTCTATGTTGCTTAGTAACGAGCGTACGGTGGCCGAGACGGTTTAACAGTCTTCTCACGATGTGGCGCGTGAACTATAGTTGAAATGCCATCCACGACGATAGACAATGACGCGACAAGTGACACAAGAGACACACGGCTTAAATACACTAGGGAGGTGCAGGTGATTGGACACAGGTGGAAACTATTAGACGATCACAGGGGACGACGGGACAAGGCAGGAAGTGAAGTTACCCGGGGACACGAGTGGCAGAAAACTACAAAATACAACAGGAAGTGAACCACACCGTGACATTATTCTCTTTTTGGTTTGACGTTTGACAAAAGGGGAGGAGCCAAACGAGACAATCGGCTTCACCTGCAGCTCCATGATTAGATCGCTGTTTTATCCTTGTTTTCCAGGGGGTGTTAGTGTGCAAATGAATACAGTAACTCCACCTGCTATTTCCTTTGTTATACAGTGTGTGTGAGGTGTGTGTGCACTCGCCGCACTGAAATAGAAGCAGTAGCTGCAGTCAGCAGTGTGTTAGGCCTTCATGTGAGTTACAGTCGTCCTCCATGTTTTATCTCCCCAGACGTCGTCCAGAGGTTCAATGTGATGGGACACAGTACGGAGACGTGTAATACAAAGGGGAGGAAGGAAGGTGGAATTTGTACAAAATACTGAATTTAAAAAAGGGACTCAGTGGAGTTTCTGACCACCAGGAGTAACTTTACTATGAGCTGGTTGATTAGATGCTCAATCAGGTGAAATAAATCCTGCCAGTGGTTTCCACTACTGCACCGATCGAGCGTTTGTAAAGGCAACGTGGTCTCCAAAACCTGTTCGTAAACATGGATACGAAAATCTTGAACATACAAATTCGTAACAATACATAGGAACTGGCGGTGGTTAACCACGCCCCTTGGGTGAACATAATGGCAGATTATGTTGGATTCCTGAGTGAACGTCTCTCTGCAATGTTGGATTCTTTGAGGGGGTTAGGGTTATTATTCTATTCTTACAATTTAACATTGATTTCTCGTTAAAAATGCAATCATAACACGTTTATTTTACATGGTTAGACTTCACAAAGTGTGTTTACGGGGCGCAGGTCCCCGTTCACTTTGAACAGGGTGACGTCATCAGCTGCAGTCCGTATTTATTCAGTATGGATCACTACGAATTTGTATGTTCAAGATTTTCGTATACATTTTTACGAAAAGGTTTTGGGGATCAGGCTGATGCTTCAGGAGATGCAGCGATGCACCGTTAAAAAGCAGAAGAGGAAGAGGTCTGCTATAAGAACACAGAATGTAGAAGTTAAAAGAAAGAAGAGGAACTAAAGGCAGGAAGGGTTGTTCACGCAAGCAGCTGACAAACCCCTCAAACGAGGAAGTTCAGGGCTGATCGGCAGTTCAGATTTCTGTCAAGTCATTTCTGAGAAAAACAACGTCATGTTTTATAACTAAAAATGTAAATGTTTTAGGGAGAAATGTTGCAGTAGGTGGAAGGAAGCAGCCTTACATGAATTACCACCCGTCCTTTTGCCCATTTGGATGGAAGGGAAATGCTTAAATGGGTTAGGGATATTGGGTGGGGTGGAGGGGGTGCGTGTGGGGTGGTGAGCGTGAGTTGGATAATCCAGAGAGTCAGGAGAGGTGTTTCTGCACAGACTCATCTTTCCTGATCGACGCGGCGAGCCGTAGTCCAGGGCGGTCCAAAAGGTCTCCGGTCGATTCTTCCTCTGTCAGTGTCCAGCAGGTCTTTTTGAGGATTTGTAATGGGAAAATGATATGTGACCCTTTGAAATGCTTCATTTGTATAACCAGTTTATTAGTTGCAAGTGCTTAGGTCACAAAGGCCCTGACATAAGAACTGATGTCTCCCACTTGGATTAGATGTTTCCAGCGTCATAGCTGTAGAGACTGAACAAAGTGTTTGTTATGTCTATGACCACCTTTGTTTAAGCATGTTGGGAGAGCAAGGACACGGTCAAAGAACTGATGTGTCTCACATGGACAAAGTGTTCCCAGTACCCTGGCTGTAGAGACTCAACAAGATGGTTAACGGTTTCTGTTGACGCCACCGATATCTAAATTTAGGTATAAGAACTGCCTCGATGTGTTGGGAAGAAAAGGAGGTTCTTGACAGTCTACTGACCACGTAGCTGTTGTGACCCTTTTTCCCTTGCAAGGAAATAAACGGAGAAAAGACATACTTGACTCAGAGCCTTTGTTTCTTACTTAACGATTGTCTGTGCAAAGTCTTCCGCCACAATTTGGTGTCAGAAGTGGGATCGTTTGAAGCTCCGTCGGGACTCCGAGGACGTCCGGGAAGGGGCCCCTTCAGGATCCACCAAAACGTGATTCTGCCCTATACCTAATCACACTCAGAGAGAGGGGACCTGCGACCAAAAGAGACCTGATTGGCTTCAACACGATCCGATGAGGAAGATTTTCACACGAATCGGGTAAGAAGTTGATATTCTGATTTTCAAACGGGGCTTCCTGAATTATAACGGGTGATAACAGATTACAAAGACGGGTATTTAGTACTTTAGGATTTTTTTTTAAAAATTATTTTTTTTCTCTCTCTTCTTAGAAAATCCAAATTTCGGTTATTTGATTGGGCTTCTAATGATGATAACTTGTCTTTTTATCCGGTTATTTGAAAAATGTGTATAAAATTATAAGAGTAATTGTACAGTATTTCCGGTTCATCAGCATCCAACTTTTTACTGAGGAAGACAGGGAGCAATGTGCGCATTTACGATTGTATTCAGACTAACTATCTGAAAATCGCATAATTGTGACCCTTGACCAAAGGGGAAGACAGGGGCAATTGACAATTGTGACCCTTGACCGAAGGGGAAGATAGGAGGGATTTTGAGAGTTCACTGAAATCGCAAAATCTCAGCCCTTGACCTAACAGGAAGACAGGAACAATATCGGGGTTTTCGGACAGTAATCTGAAAACAGATATTTGCGCCCTTGACCTATATTTATTAACCAATAGTTCTGGTTGGGTTTTAACTTGTATTTTTCCTACGTAAAAGAAAATCAAGACTTATAGTGACGACTATATTTTAAGTAATAAAAGTATACTTCACCACGCCTGAAAGATGGGTGGTGTACACGGTAAAGGTAAAAAGGAAATGGGTTCTCCGGAGGGACCCATTGTGGATCTGATGAGAAGGAAATATGGAGATCAATCTCTAGAGTTTTTGCCCGAGTGGTCAAAAGATTTTGGGTTCCCTGCAAATGGTTCTTTCAGTAGAATAAAACTGAACATGTTACGAACAGGCTTAGAGGCAAAAGAGAAGGGTATAAAATCTCAGAGGGTGATAAAAGGCAAAGACTTGGAGGACATTGAGAAACAAAGTAAATGGTTAAAATGGTGGGAGGATGAATGTGAATGTAGAGAAAGGAAACAAATGGCTAAAGAATTGACATGCGCAAAAACCACATTGGTTGAAAAACCAGATCCAAATGTTATTGAACAAAATGACCGATGTGCTTCTTCTCCCGTGTATCCGAGTCTCACAGGGGCTGGGGGCCCTCTCCTCAACACATGCCCACCACCGTACCCTGCTTCATCTGCGAACCAGCAACCTCCGTCTGCAGGAGCACATATCAAAGTTCACTACACCCGGCAGAGGGAGGAAAAGGAAGCGGCAGTGAAAGCAGCACAGGAACGACTCCTTGGCAAAGAGGAGGAAAAGAGACAGGCCGCTCTCCTCACTCGCTCTCGCTCTCCAGGAGCAACCGGAGGGGACACTTCTGCCATCAACAAACTGATTGCAGAGCAACCATCTACATCAGATGTTGTTTCCCCCTCTTTCGACCCAGAGGGAGTTCCCCCGGATGCAAAATCTGTGCTCCAAACCCCAATGATTCAAGTACCAGGACACTCAGGTCCCATACTTGTTTTGGCCCCTTGGACTGATACGGACATTAGAGCTGCAATGGCTCATCTCCCGCCGATACAGCACTCGGGAAGACTGTTTGCTGAAGCATTCATGGA